TCGACAATTCCGCAAGAGACACCTCGACGCCGCAACTTCGAGTTCGAGTGAATTACCGCAAGCCCGCGATCACTGCGTAAACTTCGAATCGCAAATCGCGAGTGCGTAAAATTGTATAGCACTTTCTAATGTTCCATTTTTACGGGTGGGAATTGCGAGTCGGTGAAAATACTAATAAATCTGCGACCGAACGCGCGTACAGTCGAGATACAGCGATACACAATTTCCGATTTAGATTTCCGACGATTATAAGACAAAACGTTTTACTTATAACGTTATTCGGAGAACTAATGATGGGAGAACGTTTGAAAAAAGGCGCTTCGCGGCACGCGATCTCGAAGAGATCGGTTCGACGAGCCAGATTCACGGCGGATTTTCCGCGGGGAAAATTGCGAGTTAATTTCCCGTGCGGTCGCGCCCCTCTCCCCTCAGCCTCCTCTAACCTCGGCTCGTTGTCGTCGTCAATTATTTTTAATTGCACGCCGATCGGAGCCCCGGGCTCTGCGCGGCGTGCATTAAAATGCGACTGGGTGTAAAATTGAAACTCGCGAGGTCGCGCTCACGTGTGCCGTATCTCCGCCATTCGATAATGTGATTTTCAACAAATAATTTTGATTCGCTTTACTTCTGCCCACCCCCTCCCCCTCACCTCCCATTCATTGCTCGTAACCCTCTCGCAATGGCCCAATTCGTTACGAACATGATTTTACGCGGGGATCGTCAATGATGGACGAGTTCGTGCTTGAAATCATTGCAAAGCGAGAGGTAGGAGGGGTGGGGAGGGGGAAACGGGGGGAGGAGAGGGGGGACGAATGATTGGAAGAGCGGGAAGGGGGACGGCCGGCAGGTGCGTGGCTGTTCAATATTCATCGGCGAGAGGCGTCGAAATGATTTTAAGTGCCTGCAGAAATTGCCGCGGCACCGGCGTTTTCTGATAATCTGCATTATTTCGATCGCTTTGATCGCCGCTGCTTTAATAATATGTAGATTTATGTTTTCATCCGGACGGTCGCGGCGGCGGCGGCGGCGGCGGCGGCGGCGGCGGCGGCGCAACGCTTCTCCCGTCCCGACATAGTTCGGCGAAATGTGGAAATTATTATTAAATTATTTATTACGTTCTAAGTATATCGGCGCGATGTGTCTTTCGTTTCATTGAAATAATCAACATAACGACGCTGTTAAATACAATTTTTTATCGCTATTATAATTAAGCGAAATAATTTGATTAAATGGTAGAAAATTATTTACATTTTTTTCTCGCTGTACTTTAAGAGTCTTGTAGTAATGTTGAAGTAATAAGATGCTACACTAGCATCTTTATTAGAGTTTCCGCAGAAATTCGGCGAATCGCGTTAAAAGGGATTGCAGAAGTCTGAATTATATTTTGGATTTCTCTGCGGCGGTTTCATTTCAAATGAAATCTCTTTGAACTCTAGAAGATTAAAACGTTCAAAACTTACCGTGAGTTTGGAAATGTTCTTTGGCGGCATGTATTGTTATGAACGCTTTACAAAGAACATAAAACATTGAAATCGAAGTACCGAATTAAATAGAATGGCGCGTCAATAAATAACGGGTTTGTTAAATTAAGATATCGGTGACATTAATTGATTTCCGGTTCTGAAACTGGATGCGTTCCAAGGAATTATTTCTTTTTTCGTGAAATGGTATTTGTTGATAAATCTTGAGTGCGATATCCAATACTTTATGTATATTTTAATCTCAAATGAAAATATCAAATGACTAAGATATTAATTGAAAAATAGAAATCTGAAATTTCAGTTAATTCTGTAACAATTATGAAACGTGTCGAAAATTCGTCGTCAAGTTTTACTTTTTAATAATTTATTGTACCTATCACTTTTATTTCGTCATGAAAGAAGAAAACTCCTCGAAAATTTACGAGCGTGTCAGTTGCGAGAGAGTTAACTCTAGTAACGAAAAAATAATAATTTTCACGCTATAAATCATTGAATCTGTCTCTGTGAATCAAATGCATTATAAATCAACTTGATAAATATCGAATGATAGAAACGCTTCCGCAAGCAATTCAAACTTTCAATATTGTGTGTGTGTGTGTGGAGTTGCAAACTTTTCGTGAGCTTCTAATATTACAAAAATTCAATAATACGTAATTAAAGTTGTGTAAAAATTAGAGTTATAAAAATTAACGTAAATATTATATTATTAAAATGATCAGATTGTCGTTTTTTATCGTGCAGACAAATCGATCGAGCAGATATTTTGTTCTAGACAATAATTTGCTTCGTCTTCAGCTTTGTAATTGTTCTTTCGTGTACAATTTGGGCTTCAAGCGTGGCGAGCTTCCTTGCATTCAACGCAATTTTTTTTTTTTCTAGAACTCGAGAACCGATCGCGGCGATCGGTTCGATAAAAGCGCTTCGGAGAACCTGCGGAGTTGCATCGCGAGATGCGTCGTCGGAAGTTCTCGCAAAGGTAGTCGGTCGATTACCGATCTGAAAAATTCGCGGCGGGATAGTATTCGCAGCAAAGAAAATATGCTTCGCCGGCAGATTACCATTCGCGTTCGATTGTGTCGGGCGCGTACACTCACATGTATCCTCTTCTT